ATTATTATTATTATTGGCAGAACCGGGGATTGAACTCAGACCCTTAGTGCTTGCCAGGCAAGCACTTATTCTACTGAGCTATCTCCCTGGCCCTCTCATTTCTTATAAAAAGAGTGATTTGCTCAGGTCACAGCTGTAATTGCAGTTTGGAAAAAAAAAAATCTGTTAATAGCTACAATATTCCAGCACTTGAGTGTTAAGGCAGGAGGATTGTGAGTTCAAGGCCAGACTGGCCTACATGTTCAGACCCTGTCTTAAAAAAAACAAACAAACGTCCAGTGAGATAGCTCAGTAGACTAAAGCGCCTGCTTAGGTAAGTTTAGGCAAGTGGTTTGATTCCTGGTACCACATGCTGCGCCAGCCCAGTCCCCAGGGCTGACTGAGCTGGCCAGAGTCCGGGTGTGATGATGCTTGCCTATAATCCCCATGCTGGGCAGGCTGAAAAGGGGAGAATCACTGAGTCTGAGCTGTGTGTAATAAGACCCTGTAATACCCAAATACATTTTTTTAAAAAGCCACAGTATTGTTACTTATTATAAAAATTGAGAAAATTATAAAATTGTGATTAATATGATTATTATGTTATACATATAATTACTATACATATATAATTACTATTTCATCATATTTGCTCTTGTTTTTCTCCTTAAAGTAAATTGCAGGGTTAGCTGTGGTGCTACATACCAGTGATTCTAGCATTCTGAGAAGCTAAGGCAAGCATTGTAAGTTCAAGCCCAGCCTGAGCAGTTTAGAAGATAAATAATAAACAAAAGAATGAATGAATGTATGTGGATATACCATAGTGCAAAAGATTCAGTTCCCAGTACCAAAAAAATGTATATTTAAGTAAACTGCATTCATCATTAAAGTTGAGGCAAGTCTGAAAAAATTATTTCCCAGTATCTTTTAATAGCTATTTCATATTTTTAAAAGTTTGGGCTGGTGAGATGGCTCAGTGGTCTAAAGCACCTACTTAGAAGAAGCTTAGCAAAGCACAGGGACCACGGTTCAATCCCCCAGCACCACATGCCAGCCAGCCCTGCCCCCTGGTGGGCTGAGCTGGCCACACACATACACA